AGAAGAAATTAAGAAAAAAACTCTGGTTTTTGAAAAAGAAAAATGAATTTCTTAGCTCTGTCTACTCAAAGGGCCTAGAAGCAGCAATACCTCAGTAGCAATGAGTACACTTAGCATCCAGATATTAGTCTCCAAACACATTCCCCACTCAACTGAACTAAGGCTCCTCAGAGGAGAGGATTCCATGTCTTGGTAGGTGAGTTTCAAGTATCTACTTGTCCCAGAAAAACAAAGAGGTACTCAAAAACTAATAGGGGCATGTCGAAAGGCTACAGACTCCACTGGGGACCCACTGGGGTCATGTCAAAGGCTCTCATTGCCAAATATGGTACAACTTGATTATGTAATAATAACAGCTGTAATTGATGGAAACACATTAAACAAAACCACTCATGTCCACAGCAATATCCAGACAAAGACAGAAGGGCAGGGGTAGTTAGGAAACTCTTCTATAGACTGTTGTTGACTAATAAATACAGAAGGAAGAATGTAAAATCATCATTTTGCAATAATAACTAACCTAAGCAAGAATCATTAAATGAATGCCAAAGCCATTAGCTGAAACGTTACTCAAGAACAGAATATTCATACAGTGCCAAAGTATCACCCTGGAGATAGATTATTTGGGAAATGCAAAATTAATAATGCACCCTTGTGGTGGAGAACGCTGGCAGTCACCTCTTTATTCCAGTGACCCAACTTGGCTTCACTAATAATGGAAAGGCTATGAGTGAAGTGGGCTTCACCTAGAACGACATACCCCCTGACCTGAGGCAACATGTACCCAATACCATCACTGAGGTGTTCTTGCCAAAAAATATTTAATCTGCATCTAATCAAACCTCTCAACATAATTCCAGTTTACAGGAAATATAGGAGAGAAAGGAACAAGTTAAAGCGTAACATGAGGAAACTATCAAATCCAGAATACAGGATATTTTACAAAACAATTTGGCTGAATTCTTACAAAAGTCAATTTTCTTTTGTAAAAAAAAAATAAAAATGGAGGCAGGAAGGTAAAAAGAAACTTACTAGCCTGAAAATAAGTTAAGCAATAAGATAACTAAGTATAGCGCATAAACCTGAACTATGATTCAAAAAGAGTTACAAAAACATTCTTGGCACAAAGATATATGAATGTAGACTGAACATCAGGTGCAATTTTATGATATGCAGAAGACTGTCTTTAAGACAAGCACGCTCAAGTAATTTCAGGTGAAGCATCATGGTGATAGCTGTAATTATTTTCAACAACAATACACACACACACGAACAAAATGTTAACAAATGTTGAATATCAGTGAAGAGCTGAGAGTGTTCATTCTTTCAACAGTTCTGGATGTATGAACTTTTTCATAATAAAAAGTTGGGGGACACTATTAAAATGCAAAATAAAATTCTATTCTCAGAGACAAACCTCACTCAAAGAGTTTATGAACTCCAGGTTGAGAATCACTGGTAAAAGCAATCATTTGCCATGCTTTGTTTTGCATGTGTACTTAAGCTATAATACTGTATTATAGTTATGCAAGATTTCATCACGGGAAAACTGAATGAAGGGTACATGAGACCTCCCTATACAATTTTCTGCAAATCCTCTGAATCTATCATTATTTAAACAAACAAACAAAAAACACATTATAAATCTGCTGTCCTAATATCACCCACTTTGAGCACATCCTTAATCTGTTCCTTAAGCCCTTCCCAAAACCAATCAGATAAAAGACACGCTTTCCTTAAAAAGAGCCTTTCAAAATCCTAAGGATAGTCAATTCTTAATACAGCTAAAGTACTCACACACCAAATTTGAAGAGAACTTGACATCTCTTGCAAATAAATGCCTCCCCACTTCCAGGCCCCTTGGTTTCCTCCATAGTCCCTTGTCACCTCACCCCAGGATGAAATCTGAATTCTCAGCTGGTCTTGTTTTCCAGATTCACACAATCAAGTAAAGCCAGTGAAGTGGGCCCCCATCTTTGCACTGTCTGCAGCCAGCTCCAGAGCTAGATTCATTCAGCCTGCCAACAGCTGACAGCTCGGGAGAAACGCAGCCACACCATTCAACTTCCCACACCTGCTGCAATTCTTGCCTTCTGGGCCTGAGGAATAACTAGTAGCCTGGTAACTGCCTCTCACTTTCACCTAAAGAGTCAGAACAAATCTGTGATTTTTCCCAAAAACAAGTATTTGCACTTTTTTGCTCCTGAGATGAAACTAAGTGGAGGTAAAAAACCATGAAGAGTCCTGTTCTCATCAAGAGAACCCGCTCCAACAGCCCCTCCTGCTGGAGCTGGGACCAGAAGCACATGCTGCAAAATCTCTCTCACTCAGCCTGCTCCCCACTTGCTCCCAGGTCCCAGCCAGGCCAGTGCCTACAACTACACAAGAGGAGCTCTGACATGCAGGCTTGGTAAGGGCATGTTTTCCAGGCTGACTGCTATACACGGCCCTCTCTCCATAAACAACACTTACTATGGGCAATGACTGTGCTCCATGCTATAGAAAACGTCACTGCATGAAAACAGCACACAAGAAACATTACTGAGTGGACAATATGGTAAATGGTTGATTGGGTTTGTATAATACTGATTTGAGGACTCGCCACCTGGTTTTCATTTTACCTGAATACATGGGTTTTGCAATAATTACTTTTAAAGGAGTCCCAAAAATACTTACATTATGCATGTGTCCAACATTGCCTGATTTTTCAGGCAAGAAAATACCTTTTGTATCCCACTCAACAAGTGGGATACAAAAGCATCCATTACATATGAGTATGTATTTCATAGTTATGTTCAGAGACATGATTGAAAGGAAATACGCCAAAGCACTAACAATAGCTATTATAAGGTAGCAGAGGGCCAGGGGCGCTGGCTCATGCCTGTAATCCCCGCACTTTGGGAGGCCGAGGCCAGTAGATTGCTTGAGGTCAGGAGTTCAAGACCAGCCTGGCCAACATGGTGAAACCCCATCTTACTAAAATACAAAAATTAGCTGGACATGGTGGTGGGAGTCTATAATCCCAGCTACTATGGAGGCCGAGGCAGGAGAACTGCTTGAACCCAGGAGGTGGAGGTTGCAATGAGCAGAGATCGTACCACTGCACTCCAGCCTGGGTGACAGAGGGAGACTCCATTTCAAAAAAAATTAATAATACTACTACTAATAATAATGTGGCAGAAGTATAAGGATTTAACTTTTTCTTTATATTTTCCTATGCTTTACACTTTTTTTTTTTTTTTTTTTTTTTTTAACAGTGATCATGTATTGCACAGTTATAATCACAGCCAGGCTTAGGTGAAGAAGATCCCTACAGAGAAGGCAAACCCCATGTAGATTCCATTAGAGATGTGAAAGAGGACATATCCTGACCAGCCACAACAGCAGTGTCAGGGGAAGCAGCACAGGTTACATGACACCACAAGGGTGAACTCTCAGTTCATAAAATTCCAAAAGATTACATTTAAAATTGTACCTACAAGTCTGCCAGTAAACAAGTCAAAAAGTGTGTTACTAAATAATGGAAAGACCATATTTTCCAGCAACACTACTCCCAACACAGCACTGGCAAGATGCACAGCATTCTGAATGGAGACTTTGGTAGGAAGGTGGTATTGGTCATTCCATTCACAGAGAGGGTCCTTCATAAATAGCTCAACTACTGTATTCAAAATAAAATAAGCAAGAAGTTACGGTTCCTTTGCCACTCTTTAAAAACATCTTAAAAAAATATTTAACTGGAAAGCATCCAATTTCCCACTGAGCTGTACACCAAGATAGGATCACTGTAATACAACAGAAGAGTCTACATCAGAGTATGTCAAGGAGAATCTTTTGGCCATTCAACTAAGCAATGGTACATTTTCATTTTAAAGTATCCATTATTCTCTTTAACAGAGAAAAGAGAGTGGTCACCTCATAAAATGTCACATCTTCAAATATTTATGAAAGGCTCTATCAGTTGTCTTGTGGTCCAGGGACAACAGTGTTTTCCAATTCTTACTGACAAATACCCATTCTGAAGATGACCATGTTGTCAGAGACCAAGCAGAGAGCAAGGCAAAGAAGGAGATTTCACTTTCTAGATAGCACACTGGAGATTGGTTAGCCATTATCTCCCTTGACTGACCCCAGACTTGGGGAAATTACAGCTGGATTTAAAGTTATCCCAAATCTCCAATGCTACTGGTGAACTCTTTCTAGAATCTGTGAAATACGATGTTGAATCCTACTTATAATTAGGCAAGTTAGAGGTAAACATGAGCATAAAGTAAAATTTCAGATAAAAATACTTTAAAATGAAATGGATTTAGTTCATTATAATCTATTACTATTTTTAAAGAATTTAAATATGGACTCATGCTTATATTACAAGCACACATATGGGCACATGTACACTTACTTGTTGTCTCGGTCACGTTCTCCTCTTTCCCATCTAAAGCTGCACAGTAAATCCTCATGCGACCATTTCAAGAACTATTTTTTGCTACTAAATTTTGCCAACAATCTGCTCAGCATTCTAGCAGATGTTTCTGTTTTCCAACCTCTGGGAACTTGGCTGGGTCTGTTTTCCTCCCCCATGTTAAAAATAAAAGAAATGGCACAAATGTGGCCTAATACCCTAGAGAAGCTTTCCTCCACTCGAAACCCTCAATCTCCCTATTCATGTGACCTCCATGATCCCTTTTCAAATTTTTTCTTTTCCATTAGAGAAGATGTTTCCAATTATGGCCCATTACGTTGCCAAGGATGACATCACTCAGATGTGTGTGTGCACTGCGTGTGTTTTGAGAAAATGCTACTGCCTTTTAGTTACTTAAGAGACCATGTACTACAATTTAGGCCAACTAGTCCACTGGACCTATGAACCCACAATGTCACAGGAGGGCAATGTGTTCAAGTGATCAGATTTTCCAAACACAGTAATGCTCTGTGTTGTTGGGGGAATCTTTGTCTTCCATCTAGCAATTTATTTAAAAAGGTGTGTGACTCAATCTTACCTCAGTGACATCCATAACTTTGATGGCTGCCAACTGACCCGTTTTAACATGTCGACCCTGAAAAACAGAAAAAAAAGATCAATGAGCACCAATGTTTTTGCACAATCATTAGAACAAAATGGCTGAAGTTTCCAACAAATCATATTTCATCTATACTTATCTCTTACTAACCAACAGTGATGACAAAATAGTCCTGTGCTCTCCAATATAACAATATAGTTTATAATGAGCCACACTTAAGCAAGACAATTCCTTGAACAAATGAGTTTTTGATAAAGCATCACTTACTTATTTCCTTCACAGGTTTAATTTACATAACACTATCCAGAAGAAACTTTTTTTTTCTACAAATCACACTGGCCATCCTTTCCTTCTTAACTTGCTAAAGGAAAAAAAAATGACCCCCAAAAAACCCTCTAGACATTTTATCGTCAAAAATGGAAAACTGTAATTTTTCCCTGTGTATTCCCAATACCCATTACTTTATTTCACAAGAATTATACTGAAAGTCTTCTTTGAAGCTCTCCTGCAGTCCCAATGTGGGGACTGCAAGAAAGAAACAAGCTAAAGCATAACATGAGGAAACTATCAAACAAATTCAATTTTTAAAATTCTTTCCCTCCTCCCACCAATTTCTTTATATACTTCTTTACAATTCTGGGATTTTTTTTTTTTGAAGTGTATAAAGAAATTGGGGGGTAGGAGGGAGATAGGTTTCTTACAGGTGTATTATAATGCCTCACCTAGAATCTAAAATTCTGTAACCCATTTGTATCACTAGATATCAGTCATACTTGGTATCATTCTCCTTTCACCCAGATGAGGAGTACTGGGTTGAATTACTGTCAGTCTTGTTACTCTCTACTCTTTGCAATGCCCTGCTGGTCATTTCTCAGGCCAGTAGCAAAGAGCATCCAGATATGCTGAGCATGATCTACTTAAGGACTTTGTGAGAAACAGTCCTTCTGCAACAGATGTCAAACAGAAAGAACATCCCCGTATTTTCCAACAGCCTGTCTCCCTTGTATTCTCATGATTTAAAGAGTTGTGAACTTTAAAACTTCACATCTGAGGAGCAGAGTGTGTGCAGGAACTCAAGTTACAACTCGGACAAAGCAACTCTGTGAAAATGACACTGTATTACAACTATGACACTGAGTAACTGCACCTGGGCAAGACTCTGCTTGGCATGCCTCAGGCTCCTATCTGTGAGTGAGATCATAGTGGTACCCACTTCATAGGGCTGCTGTGTACAACAAATGGAGCACAAAGAACATTGTGTGGCACACGGTCAGAGGTCAAGCACAACCCTGGAACCTTGTTTCCCTAAATTAATGATAGTTCCTACAGTTGATTGTGACTGTCAACACAACCTGAAACCAAATGATGGTTTTCTTGAACCCAAGGAGAAAGAGTAGAACTTCAGAGGATATAGTATTAAGTGATCCTCTCATACTTTCCACATAAGCACACAAAGATCATCTCCTTAGCAACTAATCAACCTTCAAACCTGTTATTCACCCCCTGCAGTGAGTTTATTTCCAAATTACTAAAGCATATTTCTCGCTGACAGAAACCAAATGATGAGGGAAAATGTCAAACGCACTGTCCTGGCTTTCCTCTTTTCAAGAGCATACGTATGCTGCATTGGGAATGTGTTAGCAAAACGCTGGGGATGGAAGGGTCTTCTGAGTATCTGATATGATTAACACCTAAGATCTCTACAAATCAAGAAAATCCACAGGTCTATGAAAAAGCCTCCTCGGACATTTATAGAGTAGTACCTTTCTTTTTTCTTTTTTCAAATAAACGTTAACAAAAATAAAGCCATAAGGAGCAACAGAAAATGGTCTATGCTTCCTTCTATGCCTGAACTCAAGACCACAAGTGTGTATCCTCAAGACTTAGAAAGTGGCATAACAGCTGAGAACTGTGAATTCACTCAGCATCTGCTTTACATAAAACATGAGTCTCCCTTACTAAGGGAACAGAGTATCAGGAACTAACAACTAATCAATTATTTTTGTGATGAACCCAGACCATGTGACAACACCAGTCTTCATTATCACACAGTGGGTCTCCAAATTAGGTCCATCTTAAATTTAAATCAGAAAATCATCTAAGAATTCTGCCTCCCTCCTTTCAAACAAGACACTGTACCAGGAAAAATGAATCTGGTACCCAGGCAGCCTTGAGTGTCTTTCCTTGTCCATCACCCTATCACCGAATTTCCTCAGGGAAGTTACTTAAGTTCTAGGAGTTTCCGACCCGCTGTGTTCAGATGCCTCATCCCTGCTCTAGAGTCAGGCAGCTGGCAGATCAAGTGCAGAGTCCGTAAGGCCCTAGTCCTGACCCTGGCACCCAGCACACAGTGGGCTTTCAGCAGGGATGCATCCTCATACCACTCCAACAAAGGCCCATGTTGATTCCCTTGCTCCCTTCTCCTTGTAGACTGCAATTGTCTCAAATGTCGTCAATGTAGGCCCATTTCTAATTTTTGAAAGGAATGGTCAATGCAATGGGAAGGAATGGAGTCCTAAAATAACGTATTTCTCTATTTTTTTTAAAAAAAGGGTCAGGTGCAGTGGCTCACGCCTGTAATCCCAGAACTTTGGGAGGCCAAGGCAGGTGGATCACCTGAGGTCGGGAGTTCAAGATCAGCCTGACCAACATGGTGAAATCCTGAATCTACTAAAAATACAAAATTTAGCCAGGCGTGGTGGTATGCACCTGTAATCCCAGCTACTCAGGAGGCTGAGGCAGGAGAATCGCTTGAACCTGGAAGGTAGAGGCTGCAGTGAGCTGAGATCGTGCCATTGCACTCCAGCCTGGGTGACAGAACAACACTCTGTCTCAAAAAAAAAAAAAAAAAAAAAAAAAAAAGCAAACTTCTAAATTTGAAACTAACAGTAATCATCCACCTGCTGAGATGGGTCACCTTCATGTAAAGGAACCAAAATGGCCAGCAAAATAGTCTTGGGAGAAAAACTGAAGCTGGGATTCAATGTACTGAATGTTAATATGCATATAATAGTGTGCTAAGGAAGCTACACCAAGAGTTTTTTAAAGGACAAAAGTTTGCCTGTGATTTATTCAATACTACCCAAGAGGGAATATATACTGACTCCTCTCAGGGTGGGCTACAAGCCTAGGCCTGCCCAAGCTGGGTGGCCCAACTCACAAGGGAGGCCCTTACCACACCTCTCCTGGCATCTCTTTAGCTACAACACACGACCCTCCTTCATACCACCTGAAGAGTATTTAAAGAGAAAATGAAAATGCATGTAACCATAAACGGACTGCATTATGCTGGAAACTTAAGGACTCAGGAAAAGGCATTACTCACTGATGCCTGGGGCTAGACATCTATTATATCATCCCATTCTGGCCTCTATAAGGTTTCTTAAGGGCTGCTTCATCCAGCCTGCTCATTGAAAATGAGCAATAAATCATGTTCCTTCACCTAACTCTGGATTACTGGATCACTCTGGACCCACCTGATGTTGGGTCACTCAAACACCTAACTTATGCATAGAGAGATTCTGAATTTAATATTTAACAGGGTCTTTTTTTCCCATGTATCATCCATTCTTAAAATATACCAGTAAATTACTTGGTCAGTATTAAATATACATACCTAGCATCCATTTATGAATGTTACTCTCTTGTCCCATTATCTACATTTCTTGGGCACAGTATCCCATCCAGGGATAAAATAAATATAAAATGCCAGATGGCAGAGATTAAAGATTCATTGCTAGCTTTATTTATACAGCACCACGTAAACATTAATGTGTTTATAAGACAACTAGTGATAAAAAGCCCCCAAATACTATTCACATCTATTTTCTCAACAGATCCTAAAAAACCCTATAAGGGCAACAAAGCAGGTCACTAGCCTATTCTACAGATGAGAAACTGAATTTTCTTCAGTTATCTGCCCACAGTACAATAGCAGCAGGATCCCCTTTCCACAGTGATTTTATATATATACTTCAAGAGAGGGACTCCTACTGTTTCTACTAACTCATCAAATTTCTATCAAAATATTTTGTTTTCAAAGAAACAGCCTAAGTTATTTCGCCTCTATGCTTTTAAGGGTTAGCAGACATAGCATGATTTAGAATTAAAATTTTTCTTCCAATCAACATCATTTCACACAACTTGAATGGCTCAAATAACCACAACCGACATCCCCTTTGGCAGAGCAACCTTCTTAGTTTTTGGTTCATTTTTAGTCTTTAAATTTCACATAAATGTATATTTCTTTTTTAAAGAAAACTCAAACTATTCTTAATAGAGGTCCAAGCTGAAGAAAATGGCTTGATTTTCAACTCTCCTTTATGTTTCCAACGAAGTCAAAATTGCCACCTCGCACTTGAAAAACCATTGCACTAGAATGAAATCTGTCTCTGGCCCACAGAGAGGACCCTAGAGGCAGAAGGAACAGCATTCAAAAGGAAGCTTTTAAATCCCAAAAGAAAAAGATCTGGCCGGGTGCAGTGGCTCACACCTGTAATCCCAGCACTTTGGCAGGCTGAGGCAGGTGGATCACTTGAGGTCAGGAGTTCGAAACCAGCCTGGCCAACATGGTGAAACCCCCATCTCTACTAAAAATACAAAAATTAGCCAGGTATGGTGGCGGGTGCCTGTAATCCCAGCTACTCGGGAGGCTGAGGCGCGAGAATCACTTGAATCTGGGAGGCAGAGGTTGCGGTGAGCCAAGATTGTGCCACTGCACTCCAGCCTGGGTGACAGAGCAAGACACCAACTCAAAAAAAAAAAAAGAAAAAAGAAAAAGATGGCAATGTTCCTATCTTCTCAAATGTTCTACTATCATTAAAGGCTAGGTAACTTCATGCTGCATAATCCTTACCTAAACTCCAATTACCCTTTAAAACACATTTGATGATTAAGTATATTCGTCAAGAGGCAAATTCCACTGGTCTCATCCATATTAAGAGGAACTTTGAGGAGTGAATGAATTCAAGCAATGAAAAACAGAGCCTTCACCTCCAGACTCCAATCTGAAGAGGTCAAATACCAACTACTCTATC